CTTTTTAAAGAGCCTCCCGAGCAAGCCACTCTGCCTGGCCGATTTCTCAAATAGCGCATTAAGGGCGGCCTTGTGTCGGATCTCTTGCATGGCTAGCGTCCCGATATTTGCATCGTAGATTTTATTTATCTCTTCCCAGGCCGCCTTGATTTTCTCTTGCTTCTTAGAGTGCTAATCCAAAAAGGCACTTAGTCAAAGAAAAAGCTGCATTCGGACATAAATCAGTTAGCAGAAGTAAAGCCTAAAATAAGCTAAGCACCAACGCTTAGATAGAGTATGGTTACCTCGGCGCTGCAGTTAATCATAGGATTGAGGAGACCCTCATCTATCCCGTGAAATTAGTCCCGCTGCTACTTAGGGACAACCCTAAGCATGGCATCCCTAATGGCCTTCCGGTCTTCTCTAGTAAGTAACTGGCCGGGTAGCTGCATGTTCATCTCTTCGGCAATGCCTGCATCAATTACTAAAAGGTTAGAATATTGAGGTAAAAGTGGAAATACCAAGTAAACAAGTGCTATTCATACCTGCCGAAAAGGATGGAGGGGATGGTGGTCAAAGTGCAACCGGATATGTAGGTTGCTGCTGTTCTCTAATATCTTGGGTTGACCCTGCTACTCATCGACCGCCCGAGAAGCCTGCTCAAACAAAGTAGTGTCCTCAGCATGCAGAGTCGAGGCGTCATGGCCAATCGTTTTGTGAGGGGACGACTCTCTCCCTTTGCCCATTCGATCGGTTTCAGCATGGACCGCTTTAGTTTGAAGATCCATAAACTTGGAGCCCCCACTAGGTTTCAGGTGGGATGGTTCTCTTGTAGACTACTTTGAGGCAGTCTGTGGTGTGGTTTTTGCCACTTGAGGGGAAGACTTGGCCTTTGAGGCTATAGTTTTCCGAGTCTTGGACGCCTGGCCGTCCTTGGAAGCAAAGGTCTGTTGCTTCCTCTTCGGTCTAGGAGTGGACGCCTGAAAGAACAAATAAAGCTAATTGAGAAATTGTGTCCAAACAAAAGAGGAAACGATACCCTTCCCAACATATCAGCTTGGAAATATAAATAGAAGATGTGTTGTCCGAGTAAAAATTAGAAGGATATCTTTTCTAACATACAAACTCGGCAAAAAAAAAAAAGAGTAATCAATACATCTTTATCCTGTTCGTACTATTATTGACGAAACTTGTAACGCTCCAGGCTGTAGTCGGACATATTGGTTTCTCCCTTTTGTTCGGCGTCAAACTTCAAGAAAGCCTCGTCCGATAAGAAGACATAAAAATCAAGTGTTAGAATATTTTCAAGCTACAAAGAACATTTGAACGTGCAAGACACAAGGTTTCACCTTGAGGGTAATTCGGGTATAGGGCGAAGGTCGACATGAACAGTAAATCCCTAAGCTAATCGGTTAGTGGAATCTAATGGGACGGAACAAACATGAACTTCCCATCCTTGATCACATTTTTTACCTTAAAATAATCAAGTTGTCATTGATTGGGTGGATGGGCGGCTTGGTGGGCTTATGACTCCCATGGCCGAGCTAGATAGGCTCGGAATTGAAGCGATTCATCCGCAAGTTGAACTGCACGTTTTTTGTCTTAATGCGGTAGAATCGGTGCTTCTAGTCACGCGACTTGGATGGTTTGTGCAAGACTACCAATTATTCCTCTTAAATGTTCAAAATAAGCCACCCGCCCGTCTCTACATCCAGCCGCACCAAAGAATGCATCTTGTAGAAAATTGGGATGTCGGGGGTCATGCCTTGTTTAACGCACGTCACCAGCAAGCTAAATATATTTACCCAGTTGATTCGCAGCTGCTGAAAAATGGTAATATTGTATTCGTCCAACAGGTCCTGAACGAATGGATGTAAAGGGAAGTGAAGTCCCACCTCCAAGGCAGCGTGATAAATGCTGAAACATTTTCATCTTTTGGACTCGCCTTCTTAGCGTGGTCACTGAGTAGGAACGTCTCAGAGCCTAGATGTAGTAGCCACTCTCATGTTTGAAGAATTCCTTAAACTCCTTGACTTTATGGTTCAGAAAACTCAAGGCCACATCGCCGACAATACAGGCGTATGGGTCTTTGTAATTTATGGCATTGGGCACTAAAGCCGCTTGATAAGAGTTCAGATTCTCACCTTCATGTTCAGCAGCCTGAGGTTCAAGGTCCCGAACCGAACCAGACTCTAATGACAGCACCGTGTCCTAAGCTGCGGCCTCGGTCGAGCTCCTTCCCTTGGAACCTTTGCCGACCTCGACTAGAATGCTGCCCTCTGGCACCAAGGGTCTCTTGCATTTGTCTTTTTTTTTTTCTCATCAGCGTCCACCTAACTTCCTGAAGGAGCTATGTGAGGGGGCAAGTCGGACTGCTCGAGCCCAGACGGCCTGGCCTAGCTGGTGTTTTGGGTTGCATGTTGTTGGGGATTTCGGCCGGACGACCTCCCTGGCCGAACCTAGCGTCCGTCTGAATTATGGAAGGAGGCCTCTCAGAAGATAGTAACTCGGACGGCATCAAGACCAAGCTGGTGTATTGTGAAAGGTGTTCTACCGGATTTCGGCCAGATGCCTCAGTTTCCCCTTCCCTGATCCGTCTGGAAGAAGACCAAGAAGGTGTATTTTGTTGAAAATTTTACCTGGACAAGGAGGCAGTGATCTCCACAACCGTGCAGGCATTACCACTGAACGTTACATCCGTGGTCTCCACTTTCGTGTCATTCAGATTTAAGGGTACGAAGGATTGACCCTGTTGCCGTTTGGGTTTCTCGCTGCATTTCAATCATACGTTCCTACCGTACGCGCCGTGTTCAACTGTAGGGACATAGAAAAATAGGCGGGGTTTAGTTGGTATGTACTATAAAGGGACCCACTTGAAAGAGAAGAGGAGTTGGCTCCGTCCACCCTAAACTTCTCAGTCCTAGGCGGATGGCCAATCTCATGAGGAGAGACAGACGAATTTGAGTGTTGTGTTAGGTTTTGTTTAAAAATAAAACAAGTTTATGAATAAGAAAAAATAAAAGAAAAAGCAGATGGTTACCTCTATACGAGTAGAAAACTTAGGAAACTTTGAAGATCCTAACAAACTAAACGGCAAACTCAAGAAATTCTAACGGAAAACTCAAATGCTCAGCGAAGCTCTTGTAGATCTAGGAAGAAAGTCACTTTCTCTCCCTAAAAGCTCTGACCTCTCTCTAGAAACCACAAAAATGCGAAGTGTTTCCATGAAGTCAAACAGGCCTTATTAATAGGCAAATTTATGGGGGGTAAAATTGTAAATTACCTTTTTACGTATAGGAGACTAAATGTCTTTTTTTTCGAAAAAGCTAACCTAGAAGCTTACAAAGTTAATCAAACCGTTCTGTCAATAAAGACGGGGAAGGTATACGGTTACCCAAAAGGCACATCAAAATGAACAGCCACGTCACTGAATGTGAACTGTTAGTTTGGAAAATATAGAGGACATGTGCCTCACCCGCTAGCAGGCGGCACCACTCGTCTGTCTGATATCAAGGCTTTAGTCCCATGTGAAATTAGGCGGATGGCCTAAGGTAATTAGCCTAAAGAAGATTCTCCCAGAATTCAGACGGATGGTACATTCCACCCATTCTAAAGGAATTGCTCAAAAGTCGAATACTCGAACATATGCAAATGAGTGAAAATTAGAGGAGGTGACCCAAATGGTACGAGCCACCCCCTCTATGGGGCAAATGTTTGGGGTAAAAATACCCAACACGTGGTCCTATTCTACATTTACACGTGGCCCAAAAAAGGGCGACAAATGTCCTAATAGGAAGATGACACGTGGCAAACATATGGGCACCTGAATGAAAGAAAGTCTCCTTACATTAAGAGGCCTAATTCCCGATATATGTTCATGAAAATGGCATTGTCTAGGACACGTGTCGTACATTGGTTACGCCGCCAATCAGCGCCCACCATTCTAGGTCACCAAACCCTAGATGACACAAATTCCAACCCCTATAATTACCCCAATCATTTATGATGGGAGGGGTGGATTAAGACATCTTATTTATTTCATAAGAGTTTCTATAACTTCTCTCTGCTTTCTCTCTCTAATTATTTTTGTTTTCCGCTCACTAACTTAATTGTTGAAGCAAATATTTCATCAAACGGAATATTCGTTGTTTTGCACGTGTCTGCAGCCGTCCAGCTATAATCAAAACCTGTAACTCGTGGAATCCCAAAAAACCCCTAAACATATAGCCTTAAGGTCTATGTATAACATTTTCTTTTTAAAAATAAAAAAATTATTAATTTTTATGAAGTACTTTATATTTGACTTTCAAAATTCATAAACCAAAAATGAAAACCACGGTGATATCAAACGGGTCCTAAATTGTCTAAATGTTATCTTAATTAGGGGATTATATTAGTATTTATTTCCTTATGAATAGGTTATGAGGGTGAAAATGACTTATGATCGTTATGAATAGGTTATGAGGGAGAAAATGACTTATGATCCTTATGAATAGGTTATGAGGGTGAAAATGACTTATTATAGGAACAATCGGGTATTATATGAGATAAAAGGCTAAATGGACATGTGTCATGTTCATCTAAACAATTTTGGATACCAATCGGGTTTGGAGTTAGTTCGGGTTCTAACCATTTTCAATTAGGTTAAGTAGATTGTTGGTTAATATCCGGCCTAATATTTATTTAGCATCAAATCATAGAGTATCATATCAAATCAATTGTTGGTTAAATTAATAATAAGCTAAGTTTGATCGATTCGAGTTTGGGTCACTAGATAACCCATTCATGTGGTATGGATTGGGTTCAAATCTTTGCTAATTAATTTCTTTTTTGGGTCGAATTAACTTTTGTCCGCTGCTTTAATGTGACTTCTTCTTTTAATTTTTTTTTTTTATATATTTATTTTTTTTTTTTTTATGTCTAGTAGAAATGGTAATTTCCCATTTCACTTGTATGGTATAGGATATTGAAAATTTTGTGACTGAAAATATTATAATATCTTTTTTTTACTATTCTTAAAGGTAATCAAAGGATGGGATGCAGGAATATTAGGAAGTGAAGGTGTCCCTCCTATGCTTGCTGGTACCACATATATACTTTGATTTCTCTTATACATACATATAGTTGTTATAATCATCTTCGATCATATAATAGTATAAATTATAATTAATTATCATTATTGTGGTACTAAACTAGGGGGAAAAAGAATGTTGATGATTCCTCCAGAGCTAGGATATGGCATGAGAGGAGCTGGTTGTAGGGGAGGTAATAAGTAACAGTACTTTTTATAAACCTTAGTTTTTATAATCCTGAATAATTTTTAAGTATTATTTACAATAAGCTTCTCATGATGGTGTAGGTAATTGTATTATACCTCCAAATTCCACCCTATTTTTTGAAGTGGAGTTCTTGGGAAATGTCAGATAAATGCAACTTTCTATTAACTCACATTGTCAAAATATGTTTCGGATACAAGTTGTATCATATACTTTATTATTATTATTATTATTATTATTATTATTATTATTATTATTATTATTATTATTATTATTATTATTATTATTATTATTATTATTATTATTATTATTATTATTATTATTATTATTACAACTTTCTTACAAATGTAAAGAAAATTACTAATACTCCTGTCAATATTCTTTCTTAAATGCCACATTTGTAATGACAATTGATGAGTGACAATTATTCACTTATTGGGATTTTAGTTATTCACTTTTAGGTCTTGTTCCCTAATGCTTGCATATTTTTCCTTTTTGTTTTAAACTATCAATCAATAATATAATACTCAAATAGACACTAGAAATGACACGTGTTATTTTCTGGTGCTGTTTTTTTCCTCCAACTTTTTTTATAGGAAAATATTAAAAAATCTTAATATATATATTTTTTTTTGTTAAATATCCCTTGATTGATTATACGCAGGATTTACCATATATTCACCAAATCACAAAATATTGCCTAAATTTTTACAAATATATATTTAGGTCACTCTCATAATTAATCATTTTCTTATACGGAGTATAATTATCTTCTATGTAATTAAGGAAAATATAATATATATAATAATCTCGTTTATGCGAATATTAGAATAGAACCTAAAGTTGTAACAAAAACATGTGTTATTTTTACCGGCATAATATGCCAACCAATATCATAACAATATGCCAGAATATATATGCATTATACTCGGTAATAATGTAAGATTCTATATTTCTATCTTAGCTTAAAATGAAATTAAACTAGCTTAGATGTTTTATGAAACTTTAATATTTCAAAATAAATTTAAACTAACTTAGATATTTTATAAGTTTCAATATGGAGCTGAGAATGTGTTCAATTTTATAATTTACATTATTTCTACCATTATTATTGCTCATATTTTTATAAAAAAATTGTATCCTAAGTATAGAATATGATTCTAATGCCAATTATTAATTTATAATTATAAGAGTACATTATGTTTAGGGTAAAAAAACCCCTATGCCACGTGGCCCAAGGCCCAATGGGATCCAATCGGATGCTGACACGTGGCACTGTAACCCTAATAGGGGAGCAGATCTTCATCTGCTATAAATAGAGGAAACTCCTCATTTATTGCACATTAACAAATATTCAGAAACACTCATAAATACAAACACCAAAAACCTAGCAATATTAATTGCGGAATCTCTCTTAATCAGAGGGAAAACCCAATTACTTTCCGCGCTTTTCTACGACATCTGGTGACGTACTAACTTGATCGTCGGAGGCGGAACTCCACCCAACCGGAGTTTCGTGGTTTTGTAGGTACAGACGGTCGGCGCACATTCTGAGAATTGTAACTCTCCCGAGGGACTCCAAAAACACCCGAAACATTTGGCGCCATCTGTGGGGAGAGTACTTCTGAGATGGCATCCGATACTGTACCGCCTAGTGAGGGCAGACTACCTTCGGCCGAGCCTAAGGTCCATACGGACCAGGATAGTGGTGACGACTATGAGGTCGACACCTATGTGGCCCCAGACGGGTCATTTCGAACAAGGCGCACCCGTTCCAAAGAAACAAGGGAACGGGGCCAAGACAAAACTGGTCCTAGCAACCCAACCGGCAAGCCAGATGGGCAACCCTAGGCAGCGGAGGGCACAACCCCCGTCACTAGAGACGAGCTCATGAAATTCATGTCGAGTTTCAAAGGGGAAATCAAAGACATAATCAAGAAGTCAACTAGCTCAAACAAGGGTCAGTCGGCAAAGAAGCCTTCTCCCTCCAGGAAGAAGCACCTCAAAGACGGCGTGCCTACTCCTCACCCTAAACCAAAGGGGACGGATAGGCCCTTGATCGACCTCTCCAAACTTCGTTTCCCTGAATCAGGGCAAAGGAAGGTCATCCGGCAAGTTCAGCCGGATGGGTAAAAAAAGACTTACTCTGACGCCCGGATGTTCATCCAGGAGAAGAGAATTCAACACATGTCTGAGTCGGCCTCAACGTCGACGTTCCCAGGCAGTTTCCGTAATACTTCAACGAAGTATTCGGAGACAAACCGAGGGATGTCCGCACGTACTGGCCCTCAGATCATCCAGCCGGTTCCGTATGTGCCCCAACAGCCATACATGCCGTATGGATCACCATACATGCAGTCGGCCCTCTTCGGGAGCCCGGCGACATAACAGGTCCAGCCCATGGACTAGCAGCTCCGGCTGCTAAACCTTGGGGAATAGCCGTCGGCGTTCTCCAGGAAGATAACCGAGGCGGCTCAGCTGGCCAAGGTTAAGAACGTGTTGGTTGGTATTTATGACGGTACCACCAATCCGGAAGACCACATAATGGCTTACACTAACCTCATGTACTTACAAGGGTTGGAGGACGCCGCCTGGTGTCGATGCTTCCCGGAAACATTGAAGGGCATAGCCCAACGATGGTTTGGCAACCTGCCAGCCGGGTGCATTAACAATTTTATTACGCTTACATATCTGTTCGCGTCCAACTTCTCTATGAACATCCCTGCCAAAAAGACAAGTCTTGACCTAAGGGCTATTCAGCAGGGAGATTAGGAGGGACTACGGTCCTATGGCAGGCGGTTTAATCTGATGAGAATTCAGATTCAGGGGCTGTCTGACAAAGTTTCATACACAAACTTCTTCAAGGGTTTGAAGGACCGGTCGACCTTCAAGTTTGACCTGGTCCGCAAGAGGGTTGCTACCCTCCAAGAGGCGCTGATGGAAGCCGAAGCCTATATATATACAGGCGACGGAGCTCTGTGCCATCAAGCACTCGTCGGAACCCAGGAGATCTGACAGGAAAGAAAGCCGACCTGCTCAGCCGGCCAAAAAAAAAGAGAGTAAGAAATGAAAAGAAATAGAGAAAGTTGGAACCGGACGTCTCCAAGTACAAGTTCAACAAGGACTGCTCCTCCATCCTCATGGAGATTAAAGACCGGTTAATAATTAAAAAACCGGCAGCAATGAAGAGCCCTATCAAGAACCGTGAAAAGAGCAAGTATTGTCACTTCCATGAGGATGTCGGCCATGACACCAATGGTTGCTATAGCCTCAGGCGGCTATTGAATCGTCTGGATGATGTGGGGGCTTTGATGTCCTACCTGGTGAGGTCCAAGGGTAACCTTGAAAGGAATGGTGTCCTTCCAACAAGTGTATTATTCTGATAGAGGGTTCAGAATTATTATAGAGCTAATTCTTCAGTAAGATCAAGTGATCGAAATGCCTAGGTGGAGGCCGCTTCCGATCAGTAATATTAAGGTATAATTAATATTACAGCTTAATCTTAACTGAACCCTTCGGATCGAACCCAATCGAACAAGCGATCCGAGACGAAGAATTAATTCGAAGGATATAATGAGTCGACGGAGTTTTACGAATACAGACGTCAGATATCGAGCCTAGGGCGTCGAGACCGAGCGTCGCAAAATCACAAGCAACAAGTACGAGTATAGCCTTAGCACACATTGGCCTAGCCATGTGAAGTGCTAGGCTAGGCTAGCCCATCGCAAGCCTAGGCGCACCATGTGTCTGCTAGGCGCACCGTGGTGTGCTAGGCGCGCCATACATGCAAGGCGCACTAGGCTGCCCATCGCATCACCATGTGCGTGCCTTCGCATGGCACAGCACCACATCATGCGTGCTTGGGTGCCTAGGCGCCATCGCAGGCCACATCGGAGTGCTGGGCACTTGCGTATGTGTGTGTGTGTGTTTGTGCCTTGCACAATCGCAAGCTCTAGCACAAGCATACTCACTATCGCATGGCTAGGTCAGTGCGTATGTGCGTGTGCGAGTAGGGCATCGCAGCAGTAGCACTAGCCTCGCTCAGTGTGCATGCATGCAAGCCATTGCAGCATCACAGCACCAAGCTTCGCATGCTTGTTAGTGTGGCTGGCGAGGCAAGGGGCCAACATGCATGGCTCGCTAGCAGCACGCATGCTGGCTATGCGAGTATGTGCGAGAAGGGGTAGGCAGCAGCACCACGCACTAGCTAGCATGCACGCATGCTGGCTATGCGAGTGTGTGCGATGGCCAGGCAACAGCTCCCAGCGCCTAGCACAAGGTGTGGCTCGCTAGCAGCACGCAAGTGTTGGGAGGGCTGGCTGATGCGTGCTGTGCGTGCCAGCTGGGCATGCTAGGGTGGCTGTGCTAACTGGCCAGCAAAGCAAGCAGCCAGCTCACCCAAATGCATTGTGGTGGTTTTGTGAGGGGTGGGGACCAATGCTTGGGCAAAGTCTTGAGGAGCAAGGCAATGGTCCCCCTCACCTAACTCTCTCTCTCCCCTTGACACTTGTTGCATTGTGATTGATTTGATTATTAATTTATTTTGGAATTAAATTAATTATCAAAATTATTCATTCTCCCACATAGGCTGGGAAATGAAGATCAAGGGTTCATTTCCCTATAAATACCAAAGCTTGGGTATTTGGGAAAGAACACACTTGAGTGGAATTAAAAAGGCAACTCTTGATTTGAGTAAACCTTAAATTCGTAAAATTCTTAGTTTTTTTTTTCCGGGCTTCGACTAACCTTCGAGGCTTAGGACGCTCGGGTCGGGTTTGAGGGTACGATCCCGTCGGAGGCCTCGTATTTTCGGGGTTCAAGTAAGAGCTCATTTTTGAGTGAAGCAGGCGTCAAAGGTATAATCTTTTATCCTTTCTTGTGTTTTAATTATGTTTTTCTTGTTTATTTCATTTATTAATGGGGCGGTATCGGAGACACGCTCCTTTTAATTTTTGCAATTATTTATTAATTAAGGTGTTTTAAAGTAAGATTTAAATTATGGTTTTGCTTTTCTAATTAGATTAGATGCTCTTTTTAATTAATTGTAAAACTTGTATTTTTATCGGTTTGGCTGTCGAACCCAGATTTTGGCTCATAAATAGTGATTTTTGGGTGGAATCAACATTCTGAAACAAGGGGTCATGCTAGTTGCCAAATGCATTTTAAGGGCTGTCCAGAAGCCAAATTCGAACCAGAAACCTAAGTTTT